CAGTCAACATATATTTATGGAGTTTATACACAGTGTAACCCCTCAGTTGTAGCATTCATGGAGTGAGTAGCATTCATGGTCTTGGGTCAGTGCCTAACACCTAATGATGATACCTCAGTTGGTCACTGACTCAGGCTTTAGAAAAGCAATTATTCATTTATTCACCAAACCATACAACAAACACTAACACCAAACAGCAGGAAGGCAAATAAGTTTCATTTAGAGTGCAGCATCCATTGCTCAGTCACTCCTGGGTGAGGCCTCACCTACGACTGGAGGAAAACAGTGCAGAGGCCAATTACAATTGTACCAAGAGTGCAGACAGGGGATTGACAATACACATGCTTTATGTACCAGGCAGTATGTAGGCACTGGGGGGGTCACACTCACCACTCACCACATACAGTTTAGTAGTGAATTATTTCATTCTTTAGGATTGTAACTGGGGTAGATAAATGGACAGAGGGCGTCTCAGCTCTAACACCACTTTTTGTACATTTGGGAAGCAAAACAAAAACACCTACCTGGCCTGGCATCTGCAAGAAAAGATTTGGACCTGCTTCCATTTGCAGGAAACTTGGGATGCGCCTGTAAAAAGCTGGTTTCCCACCACCTCCCTTCCCATTGCTGCACTGAATTTCTGACTCTGTTCCATTGTAGATGCTGTTCCCTGTGCTTCTGGCCATACAGGGCACTATGGGGGCTGTGTACTGCGTGATCATTTCTTCACTGGGTTTGCTCAGCGGCCCCTTCTGTGACACAGGCAGTGGAAACTACACCTACCCGTTCAGGAATGACAGCCTCGAGTGAGTAGCATTCACGGTCTTGGGTCAGTGCCTAACACCTAATGATGATACAGCTGATGACCACAAAGAGTATGTGCCCTCAGTATTGACCATCCAGTAACGGGGTCAGGCACTTTCATTCATACCTAGTGCCTTGTTCCTCTCTCCACACCTACTCCCAAATCAATAATCTCTAGGAGGTGATTGGCCAAGGCAAGAAGTGCCCATGAATTAGCCCCAGTTATTAAATCCAACTGAGTATGTGCTGAGGGCCTGCTTAGTATTTGTTAGGCACTGTGATAGGAGAAGGGAGTACAAAGGAAGGATAAGACAACATGCCTATTTGCAAGTAGTTCACAATCAAACTGGGGAGATAAGTACCAAATTTAGAGTTGCACAAATATCCTGAAATGTCTGGATCCTGTGATGATGATGCATATTTATTTTTCTAAAGAAACACAGAAAGAAACCAAACACCAATTTATTGAGAAAGACCCTGCTTCTCTTCTCATTTCATGATCTCTCTACCTGGCAGATCTCATCCATCCCCCTGGCTATCAGAACCATCCATCTACCCATGTAAATAATCCCAAAATGTCTATTTCAAACCTAAATCTTCTGAATTCTTGACCCAAATTTCTAATTACCTCCTTAAAATTTCCTCTTGAAATTTCCTTACAATATTTCGATATTAATATGTCCAAAACTCTATGTCTACAAATCTCCTGTCAGCCATTGCCATTCTAGTAAATGTCACCTAAAAGCTGTGAGTTGTCTTTGATTCTTCTGTCTTCTCACTCCCCCTGTTCAATCCGTTACCAAATCTTGTCAGTTCTACCCTGACAATATATCTTGAATATACATTGCTTTTCACCTAGTCTGTTATCACCCTGTTCCCAATCTCCAACACCATCTACCTCCACACCTACAACAGCCCTCCAACAAGTATCTGTTGACCACCAGTTGACATTCAAGCTAGACCTGGGCAGTTGGAGGCTCCTCAGCCCCTCCCCTGTCCTTGAAATGTGCATCCATTTGCCTTTCCCACCTCCAGAAGCTGTTCCAAGGATACAGCCTGGAGAAAGCAATGTGATGTTGAGACTATCTGGACAGTATACTTGACTGACTCCAGTTAGGGCCTCTCTATAAAAACTTTTAAGATGCTGGTGGGTGAGTGTGGAGACCTACTCATCTTGTGGCCATCCTATACAAGTATCGTAACTAAATCCCCTTGCTTATCAAACCTGCACCTACCCATCGGGAGCGGTCAGCCTGTTTCTTCAGCCTCTCCCTACCCTCCCTCTATGCGGGCTGGTTTCAGGTTACACTTGGGAAGCTCCTGGCCAAATTTAGGAAGCAACAGTATCCCAGTTCCATTCTGCCCTTCAATCCTTTTGCCATAGATTAGCCAAAGGAGTTTTTGTAAAATGTAAAGATGCTGATAAGGCCAAGAAATCTTTACATTTCAGGAATTTGCGATCTCATTGGGAACTCAATAGATGGGGACATGAATATGGGTGAAGGTAGAACAAAATAGAGACAGAAATGTCAAATAATATACAGCTCTGTGAAATATGGCCTGAAAATTATTCCATATTCTCTTTATCCAATTAGTACACTCGGACCCCAAATTTCCCTTACAGTTTTTGCTCATGTGCTATTTCTTTTTACCATTCACTGCTCTGCTCTCTGCTGCTGTCTCCTTCAAGGCCTGGTAACTCCAGCATTCCCTCTGAAGCTACCCTAGACCTCTAGACTTCGCCTTTCTATGATAATTATAACTAAAATATATTGCCTACTGCCTGGCAGGCAACGTGCCAACACCTTATCTAATCCTCCCAACCACTCTATGGTATTGATGGCATTTTTACAAATTGAGTTTTTAGAGAAAGAGAGGAAAACAGGAAGGGGGGGAGAGAGAGAAGAAGGGAGGGAGAGAGGAAGGGAGAGATCAGCATCAGCAGTGGTTGTTGTTCCACTTACTGATGCATTCATTAGTTGATTCTTGTATGAGCCCTGACAGGGGATGGAACCCACAACCTTGGCATATCTAACCAACTGAGCTACCCGGCCAGGGTCTTAACGCCATTTTTAGCCCCATTTTACACATAAGGAATCTGCTGTACAGAAACATTCAGGAAACTTATGTAGAACTTTTTAGTAAGGAAGCTGGAGTTAGGACCTGGGCCTCTGGGACTTTTATGCCCAAGCTCTTAACCATTCCCGCTGCCTCTGAGACCCTCATAACAGCCACGAATATCGTGAGCCCAGGAATTCCCCTTCCTGTGTGCTCTGCTTTGCTCATATGCTATGCCTGCATCCACAATGCCTGCTGAGATACTGTGCTATCGGAGGGAAGGGGTGTGTTCAACCTTCCCCCAGGGAGCAGCAGTAAAGCTGCTGTCTTTATGAAGATGAGAGCAATGAAGCCCCTAAAGCTTTGGAAGCTCCTGTGTTAGACTTGTAAGTAGCACCCCCTCCCTTTCCTGTCTCTCAAACCCAGGCTCATTTTCCCCTCTGACCTGACAGGGACAACTACTTATTCAACCAGCCCTCCTGGGCCACGTGCCGAGAGCCTGAGCACATCGTCCTGTGGAACGTGGTCCTGTTCTCCATCCTCTTAGGGATCGGCGTGGTCGAAGCCCTGCTCTGCCTTAGCCAAGTCGTCAGTGGGCTCTGTGACGTCTACTGTGGTACCTGCATCCGAAAAGGACAGGTGGGTGCTTCTAGAACCCGGGAATTTTCAAGTCACTTGCCCCTGACCTGTTCCACACCATCTCTCTCCTGCCCTAGCCTCACAACCCCAGAGGTAACTAGGAAATGCCATTACTTGCCACTTTGGGCTTAATTTTTTTCTTTCAGGTGAACATAACTGGTCTGTAAACAGCCTAAGAAATCACGACTGATTGACAGACGAAGGAGAGCCCCCCAGGTTTCAGAAGGACTGGATTTGGTGAATGTCAATCTCCAGAGTTCTGAGAAGCTGGGGAAAAAGCCCCCGGCTTTCTTACCAGAGTAGGTTTATATAAAAGGACAACAGTTTTGAAAACTTCATCTGCTTTGCTAGAATAAAGGTTGACATTTCCTCCAAATGATCTCTAGGAATGATAAACAGAGTCATAGGAATGTACAATCATAGAAATAAAAAATACGTAATTTAATAATAGACGCTTCAATGCATTGGGTGTTATTATATTCCAGGCCCTGTGCCCAGCACTTTATCTACATTGTCTCAGTTAATCCTATAAAGCAAGTGGCATTTTAATGCCGTATTGCACATGAGGAAACGCAGGCTCAGAGAGGTTCAGTTCCTGTTTGAAATGAATGAATTTGGGCCTGATTCCAACATTTGTATTCTAGACTACTCTCCAGTGGACCTTGGAGCTTATTGCTTAGACACTAACTAGTTCCTGGGATCATATTAGGTGTTTTTCATTTACAAAAAAAAGGGAGGCAGGGACTCTGGTCAAATTAATTTTAAATACACTGGGTTAAACAAAGTTTAATGGGTTTCTCTGCTGCAGGACTTGTCAGCCTTTACAAAGCCAGTGTGCACTGCTGACCTCCAGAAGAAGAATAGTAAATGCCCAATTTCCCAGCCCTATTTGACCACAAAGCCCTTTTCTCTCGGAACAATTTTTATGGGGCCAATATTCCATGGAGCACACGTTGAGAAACACTGCATGACTCAGTGATGAGGTAGGAGCCGCTTCACTTAAGCCATGAGAGTCCAAGAGATTTTTTCCAAACCATCAGAGAAGTAGAAAAATTTGGGATGAGACAGGTTAAGAGCTACTCACCTGTTCTTTTGTTCTGCTTTGATTTATGTTTTTTAAGTTTTTAGCAGGAATCAGAGGTTTTCCTTTTCAGGCTTCTTTACTGTCATTGCAGCAAACATTCCTGAGAACTCAGTATCCACCATACAAGCCATGGCAGTCCCGCCCCCCAACACACACTTTCCTCTGGGCACGCCACCTGCGCAGAAACGACCTCCTCAAATGAACAGCGTGGCTCTGCTCATGTCATCAACGCCGGAGCGCTCTGCTAACCCAGGCTGTTTCTTTGGCTTCCCTTTAACTCTCCCACTGACACGAAGCCAGACCCACACAGCCGGGAAGAGAGATGTACTAAGTCCCCTGCACTGGGCCCAGTGCTGCACTAGCTCAGCCCTGACAATGCTGCTAGGGAGTCACCCCCCTCTTCCACTCCCCTCTCCCCACCCCCAGGAAACTGGGCTTAGGGAGGGGACATCTTTAGCACAGTTGGTGCACCAAACCACCAGACAGAATGACTGTATGTGGCCCAATTACTGTCTCCCTGGGAAGAAAAACAAATATAAGCAAAATGTTTTATTAGCTATTCTCCATTAAAACACCCTCTGTGTAAAGAGATAGATTTGAAGCAAGAAAGGAGACAGGATTTCTGACTCTGGCAAAACGTCCCTCTTGTGGTTCTTCCTTTGGTGAGTAAAAGGAATTTGCTGTTAAAGACACCAAAGTACCTCCTGTGGCCAATAAAGTGGGCAGAGGAGGCACCGAGCCGAACTGCCCGTGGGCAAGGCCCCAGCTTGTGAATTCCCGCAGGACACCCAGGGCTCAGCTAACTCGCTCCATCAAGGGCTTTGGAGGAGGGAAGAGCACCACCAACATTTGAAACGTGGGACAAACCATCAAATGATTTATGATTAACACACTAAAAGAGCATTTATTGCCAAATAGAAAATAGTTCTCTGAAATTAAAGAGAAACAGATGACTTTTCAAGGCTGGCTTACGTTCTACTCTTTGGCTACATGGCAGTATTTCTGAGTTCCTACCATGTGTGAAGCAAAAGTGCCTGGAGAAAGGAGAGTTGAGTGTTTGGGAAGAAAGTGTTTCAGCAAAGGGAAAATCACAGTGCACAACCAGCCCGACACAAGGCAGAAATGGGGAGCGAGCATGTTCACTTCAGTCTCTGTGTCTTCAAGCACATCTCATCTTCTTAAACTCCTTACTCTCTCAAGGGAAACTACATGGTTTCCAGACCACAGTTGACTGACTTTCCCCCCCTCAACTCATTCTAGATGTTAAGAATTGTTTTTAACTGCAGGATACAGGTGTTTACATAATATGATACACATGTTATTGGAAATGTGGAGGAAACAGCTCTCCTTAGTGAGTTTAGAAAGCCTTTCCATTTTACTCCTCACACTTTGCTGTAGTATAACAATTTCCACATTTTCCAGAATAAGCAAGAATGACTTGTGTAAATGTAAACATATGTGAAATTTTAAAAAACTTTACCATTTTACAAAAACCATCTAGAAGACTCATCTGTTTACCATATCCGGTGAAGTGCACTTGCAGGTCTACACTGACTTGGGAGAAACTTCATGGTTCAAAGGCTCATTGACAAACCAACATCTGGCATTTTTTGCCAAGTTAAATGGACAGAGGATAATCGTAAAAGGGGAGATGCATTAGAGAAAGCGAGGGGAAGAAAATGAAGCTAACCTGAGTAACTCCAAAAAAACTGGAAAAAGTCGTTTTGACTGGAAACTGTATGTACATAAACACTGTACTCTAAAGTTGTTTCTCACAGTGGTATGAGTTAAGAACTACAGACCTGCTGAGACTATAGAATGGGGTTGAACGGTGGGTGGTGGGACCCAGGTTTCTCACCGTTGAAGGAAGACGTTACAGATAAGCAAAGGGGGGAGGCTAGAACAATCCATGCAGTACTGAATCAGAGTCAGGGACATCTGTATAAGTCATGTTTGGCGCAACAGAGATGCAGATAGGTAGATACAGAAATACAGGTACGTGTGTGTGCATGGGCTGTTACACACCCATACATAGTTCCAGCCCAGTGTGCTGAGAGAGCCAGAAGCAATGACACCCCAGTAGCAACAAGTATATGCAGTGCTCATTTTTATCATTTATTAAAAAATAATTTATTATTTCGAATTTAAATGTTTATGAAATTTATGGTATTTGAAAAGAAAAGAAAGGGAAATGGCTTTCCTCGAGCCATGGCTTCATCCACTCCATGGCTTTAGTGGTTGAATTAAAGCCTTAAGAGGCCTTGAGCTTCCCAACCTGCCCAAGCAGCAGTGTAGAAAACTCCACACCATCCAAGATTGGAGTCGCGTTGGACTAGCTCTTCTTGGGCCTGAGTGTCATTGTCTGAGCAGTGGCCTCATCCCCAGAGGGCTAAAGTAAGTAAAACACTATTGAGAAGCACAGGGCCCTTTATGGTGGAACCCTGATGTGGCCTCTTGCTCCAGGGCAGTATGCTGAGAGTGGGTGTAAAGAAGATACTTTTTGTCACCAAGACAAGCACCAGCCCACCTGACCCTTGGTAAACAAACCAGCAGTGCAGCCCTACGGTGGCCGGGAACATGGGTTCAGGAAAACAACAGTACAGCCTGACGGATTCCTCTGTATTGAATGGTTTCTTGCCCTGCCAAGTGCTGCCCCATGCCCACTGCACCCTCTTACCTTCTGGCAAACAATACTCAGAATAATCTGTAACCCCCTGGTTTGAACTAGGTGGCCCCTCCATTCCCTGGATGTATCCCCACCACTGGGCCCGCCTCGTTCAAGTGCAGGGTCCCTAGCCCAGCGGTGATTGCATGCCTCATTCACTTCTGTCTCCCCAGTGCCCAAGGCATATCAGGCTCTCAGTAAATGTTTCCTGGGTGAGTAAAGGAAAGAATGAAAGAGCGATCTGGCCTGCAAAGTGTTTCAGGAAATGTGATTATGCAAAGTAGTAGTTTATACAGGCTGAGCTCAGAGCTCTTTAAAACTCGGCTTCTTTCTTTTTTTTCTTCCTCTCTTTCTTCAGCCTGGCCCAGGGGTGGAAGTTCCCAAAAGGAAACAAAGCCAATCCACTGTCATTTCATTTTGCAACTGTAGGTGAAATATACTGTGTCACTGGCCACCACCCATCAGCTGGGGGTTATATGAAGTTCTTAGTATGGGCCAGGCTGTTCTCGATGCAGCATTGGGATATTGTGATTTATAATAAGAAACATATATGTTTGGTTTTCCTTCCTTTCTGGCACAGAGCTCCTAATATCTTGGCATTTCCTAAGTGAAAAGAGCAATAAGAATGTCTTCTGCTTTTCATCACAAGCCCCCTTCAAACTTGAGTTTGTGTTAATGAGGTGACTTCCAGGAAGTTCCTCAGGATAGGGGCTTGTTGTCAGGGGAACCAACCAGGACTGGAGAGTTGGGATTTTCATCACCTCTTCCTCTACCCTCACCCAAAGGCCAGGGTTCAGAAAGCTTCAGGTTGAACACATGGAGGTGCTCTTCCTGAGTTATGTCATTTATAATAAACTGGTAATCTAGCAAGGAAACTGGTTTTCTGAGTTCTGTGAGCCAATCTAGCAAATTAATTGAGCCTGAGAAGGGGGCCCTGGGAACCTCTGATTTATAGCCAGTAGTCAGAGGCACAGGTAACGAGGGGGGTGCAGTCTGGTAGGACTGATTCCATAATCTGGTGAACCTGACACTATCTCCAGGTATTGTCAGAATTGAGTTGAATTGTAGTCCAAGCTGGTATCATAGAATTTCCTGGTGCAGGAGAAACCCCACACTTGCTGACCAGAGTTCAGAAGCAGGCAGAGTGTTATATGTAGTGTAAAGAAAAACTGTGTTTTTTCATTTACGAGCATAACACAAAAAATCCTATAATGATAGTCTGGAATCTTTACATAGGCTGAATGGTTTTCAAAGCTCTTTTTCTACATGATTGTATCTGACCCTCACACAGTCATGTCTTATTGTCCTGGGATAAATGATTACCGCCATTTAACCAAGGACGAAACAGGCTCAGACGTGGCTGCCCCCGATGAAGCCGATAGGAGGCTCACAGCTGAACTCTGGATGCCAAGTCCAAG